ATATCTCAACTCGTTCCTGAGATACGACTCTTTTAAGACATGTGTTAATCCACACATAACGTCCCTGAAAATTAAACACGCAGTGTTGGATTTAAAAAATCATAACAACGAGGTTTATGGAAAATAAGAAATTATTTATCGCACATTAAATCTTCATTAAATTCGCTTTAAAACGCTTCTTATTTCATGATGATATCTTACTTAGTTTTTGAGATACGATTTTTTCAAGTTAATCTTCTCCATTTAACTTTTACAAATCTTAGTACGCAGAGTTGAATTAAAAAGATCGTTGTAAACAAATTGGGTGAAATTAAAAATTTATATTTATAACATTAAAACTAGATTAAATTTGCTTTAAAATGTTGTCCATTACAATATGATATCTCAACTCGTTCCTGAGATACGACTCTTTTAAAACATGTGTTATTCCACACATAACTTCCCTGAAAATTAAACACGCAGTGTTGAGGATTTAAAAAGCATAACAACGAGGTGTATAGAAAATAAGAAATTATTTTTAGTACATTAAATCTTCATTAAATTCGCTTTAAAACGCTTCTTATTTCATGATGATATCTCACTTAGTTTTTGAGATACGATTTTTTCAAGTTAATCTTCCCCATTTAATTTTTACAGCTATTAGTACACAGAGTTGAATTTAAAAGATCGTTGCAAACAAATAAGGGATGATTAAAAATTTATATTTAAAATATTAAAACTAGATTAAATTTGCTTTAAAATGATGTCTATATCAATATGATATCTCAACTAGTTACTAAGATACGACTTTTTTAAAACTTGTTTTATTCCACATATAATTTCCCTGAAAATTAAAAAAGCAGTGTTGGATTTAATCAATCATAACAACGAGGTTTATGGAAAATAAGAAATTATTTATCGCACATTAAATCTTCATTAAATTCCCTTTAAAACGCTTCCTATTTCGTGATGATATCTTACTTAGTTTTTGAGATATGATTTTTTTAAGTTAATCTTCCCCATTTAACTTTTACAACTATTAGTATGCAGAGTTGAATTAAAAAGATCGTTGCAAACAAATTGGGGGAAATTAAAAATTTATATTTATAACATTAAAACTAGATTAAATTTGCTTTAAAATGTTGGACATTTCAATATGATATCTCAACTCGTTCCTGAGATACGACTCTTTTAAAACATGTGTTATTCCACACATAACTTCCCTGAAAATTAAACACGCAGTGTTGGATTTAAAAAATCATAACAACGAGGTTTATGGAAAATAAGAAATTATTTATCGTACATTAAATCTTCATTAAATTCGCTTTAAAATGCTTCTTATTTCATGATGATATCTCACTCAATTTGTGAGATACGATTTTTTCAAGTTAATCTTCCCCATTTAACTTTTACAACTATTAGTACGCAGAGTTGAATTAAAAAGATCGTTGCAAACAAAATTGGGGGAAATTAAAAATTTATATTTATAACATTAAAAGTAGATTAAATTTGCTTTAAAATGTTGTCCATTTCAATATGATATCTCAACTCGTTCCTGAGATACGACTCTTTTAAAACATGTGTTATTCCACACATAACTTCCCTGAAAATTAAACACGCAGTGTTGGATTTAAAAAGTCATAACAACGAGGTTTATTGAAAATATGAAATTATTTATAGCACATTAAATCTTCATTAAATTCGCATTAAAACGCTTCTTATTTCATGATGATATCTTACTTAGTTTTTGTCATACGATTTTTTTAAGTAAATCTTCCCCATTTAATTTTTACAGCTATTAGTACGCAGAGTTGAATTAAAAAGATCGTTGCAAACAAATTGGGGGAAATTAAAAATTTATATTTATAACATTTAGATTAAATTTGCTTTAAAATGTTGTCCATTTCAATATGATATCTTAACTAGTTCCTGAAATACGACTTTTTTACAACTTGTGTTATTCCACATATAACTTCCCTGAAAATTAAACACGCATTGTTGGATTTAATCAATTATAAACAACGAGGTTTATACAAAATAAGAAATTGTTTAAGGCCCATTAAATCTTCATTAAATTCGCATTAAAACGCTTCTTATATCGTGATGACATCTTGCTTAGTTTTTGAGATACGATTTTTTCAAGTTAATCTTCCCCATGTAACTTTTACGACTATTAGTACGAAGAGTTGAATTAAAAAGGCCGTTGTAAACAAATTGGGTGAAATTAAAAAATTATATTTATAACATTATAATAATTATTGATTAAATTATCCATTAGCAAGCTTTGTTTAAGTCAATTTAAATAAAACAAAATTTTTTCTCCTCTTTCTTGCTATTTATTTTATTATGCTTCTAAATCGATTTCGAGGAAACAATCCTCATCTTCAGTAGAATTGTCAGTTTAGTTGAAAAAATATATTAATCATCAAATTTAACACATCCTCCAAATTTAACTTCATCTTTTTTGCAAAAAAAAGTTTTTTTTTTTTTTTTTCGTATCTTTTGTCAAATGTAAACGCGTGTTTTGTTTTATATTATTTTGGATTTTGTTTTAAGTGTATTTTAACTTTTGGTTTTGAATTTGATATTCTATTATATTTGTTCAATTATTAAAGTAAGAAATTTTCAAGTTTGGATAAAAAAGATGAAGTTAAATTTGGAGGATGTGTTAAATTTGATGATTAATATATTTTTTCAACTAAACTGACAATTCTACTGAAGATGAGGATTGTTTCCTCGAAATCGATTTAGAAGCATAATAAAATAAATAGCAAGAAAGAGGAGAAAAAATTTTGTTTTATTTAAATTAAATTATAATAATTAGATTAAATTTACTTCTTAAGATATAATTTTTTAAATTTCTATTATATAAATATAACATTTTTATGTATTGTTTTGAATACAAAACTCAGTTAGGATGGTACAATATGGTATGGGATGTAGTATCTAGAAGAATTATTTTACAATTTATCTTTTGACTCAATAAACCATCAAATGTACTCTGGGGTATTTCTTTGGGAGTCTCGAATGCTGCAGTGTTGAACGTTGTTGAAGAATTGTTGATGTGATAAACATTGAGTGAGCTTTAGTAACACATTTCCTCCTGTGGTATCAAGAAAACTCATATTAACTCGAAACATTAACAACAATGCATATTCTATACATGCCACATTATGTATTAATTAATTTTTCCAACTCTCATTACTGATAAGATTAAAATATGTTTTACGATAATTGCAGATTTAATCTCAATTCATTAAAGCTCTTAGAAACATACTTTTGCTTACTTCAAAGGAAAGATTTGCTTCTTAATCGTAGTATCAGATTAAATGTAATTAGGTAATTATAATTAATTTTAACATTGATATTTCAATATACAATAACTTTTATAACTCATATTGCAATTTAAAGAAACAAACTAAAATGAGCTCCTAGCAAACTGGCGAATACCAAAAACTCGTATGAGTTGAAAATTGGAAGGGGTTGGGGGTAAAAGGTTGGCACTCGGCCCAAACACGGGGAAGATGTGGTGGTGCGTTTCCGATTGCTACCCTTCAGTTTCGCTGACGATCTCGTCGCTAACGGTTCGTTGAATTTAATAATAACTCTTTCCCGAATAGTTAAGTTCGCAGTATTTAATGTTATCGTTAGTAATATTTCAAAATAATATTATGTCAATGTAAAATTTAATTTTTAAAGTCTTTAATAAAACTTTTTTTCCATTGGCATGTTCACGTAAGTAACTTTGAAGCGTTACTTATTTAAAAAAAACATTTTTAAATAATTTAAAAAAGATAAAGGCATAAATAAGATTTTTTGTTGGACCTGTAAAAAAATTTTCACCGGAACAGGACATAAAAGGATATAAAAAGGAAAACTCATTTAGAATTCGTAGTTGGGCAGGTTTTCTTTTGAATTATCAAGATTCTTTTAGTTGTCTTGTTATAAAAATAACACAAAATATAATTACATAACTAAATTAAATTCCCCACTTCTTTAAAAATACGCCATTAAAAATTATTTTGTATCGATGTTACGAAACATTCGTTAAACATAAACAAAGTTCCAATTGAAAAAATTAATTAAATTTTGAGTTATAAAATCATAAATTTATCATTTAATAAGTTCCCAATACGCTTCAAGTACATCACCAACAAATAACGCAATTGGTTAAGAAGTACTCGACATTGAAAGAGCCACGTTTGTTAGCTCGTCTAAAAAAGAAAACAATCCAAAAGCTTCCTATTTCGATGTTGAACGGTAGAGTTCAACAAAACGGAATTGGAGAATTGATAATCGGTGGGGTATTTTATTTCAAAGTGCCTCTTCGTGTATGTTTACCCAACAAAAATGTTTATTTATATCGTAAATCTTTTTGCCTTTATCTTTTATAATATAATTTAAAAATCTTTTATATATTTTAAATAAAAAAAATTAATTAGAATCGAAAACGGTAAAGAACAACAGTGCAAACTGGGTTACACAAAGAGCAGGATGGCCGCTTACGGCTCCTTGAAAATTGCAAAACAATGGAGTAAAATTTTGGGATTTCAAACGAATAGTAAACGTAAAATGGATGCGGAAGAACTTTTTGAAGTAAGTATATCACTATAATTATAACCAAAACTTTTGAGGCGAATACAAGGAATGAGATAAATAATATTTCAACTCAATTCAAAGTTGGTAACTAATTTTCGATTAAAACTTTGTCACTTCAACACTATATCAAACTTATTAAATGACAACATTTTTTTGTAAGCATTTTTACAAATATTTTCGAATTCCGAGTTATTAAAATTGAATAGGTACCTTTCCGTTTTCCGGGAAATGAACGTCTGAAGTGAAGGACATGTCTAGTGTATGTCCTTTAATAAATAAAAATATAAAAGCGGAAACGTAAAAACAAGATGATCATTAAAAATGTATGTCTTAAAACCTAAAAAAATGTAAATTTTATTGTTGTTTTTGCTCTAAGAAGCAGCGCGAATTTGGGTTTTTCAATAAATAATTTGAATTTTTAGGCCGCTGAAAGTGGAAATTTAGATATGTTTAAACGGTTGTATTTCGCCGATCAAGAAAGGTTGGCCATTAAAGACAGTAGAGGAAGAACGGCCGTTCATCAAGCTGCAGTACGGAATAGGACTAATATTTTAGAATTTATTTTGTCACAAGGAGCAGGTAAATTAACTAATAATTTTTATGTTAATTTGTTAAAATTATCATAGGTATGTTCATTTAATTTATACAGTATAATGTAAAAGATCTTTAATCATCTATTTTTCTCAATATCTTCTCAAAATCATTCCTGATATTTTCCAACCTTGATATTATCCAAAATCAGTTCCGGGCATTCCCAACATATTTTCCATCCTTAATATCATTTTGATAGCATCTTTAATATCTCTATATAATTATTGAACCCACATATATCCCCAAGATCGTCACAACTCCCTCATCATCTCTTTTTAACATTTCTAAACGTTGTCGCTTATATCTCTTAACATCAACACTAAAATCATGGAAAATTACTTCTGAGCTACCTCAAGATTGCATATAACTGCAAAATATCTCAATATCAATACTATCTTGGCTTACCGCAACGTCTTCCTCCAACATAATCTCTGAATCTCTCCCAACATTTTCCCTCCATCTATTAACATCGTCCTTGATATTGCTAAAATTGTCCCTGACATATTATCTCAACATCGCATCGTTTGAAAATTGTTGATGTCTGTTCTCCTTCAACGTTTTTTCTTTATCTATCAAGATTATCTCTAATATCTCTTAACATCGTTCCTTCAACATAAGAATAACATGTCTCAACGTATCTAAACATTTTTCCATAATCTGATAATGGCATCCTTAATATTTCTAATTATTGTATTTGATGTTAATTAACACCGTCTATTGTATCCCCCAATATGTTATGATCAAATCCACAACATTTTCTCCACCATCCTTCTGAACATCTCTAAGCATCGCCTCAGATATCTTCCATGACTTCGGTGACTATCTTCATTTCTGGAACTCATCAACTTTATCGCCGGGATCAAAATCGTTCACAACGTATCGCAATATAATTTCTGATATCTCTCAACATTGGCTTGGCTTCTCTGATGAGGAAATCGTCATCTCTTTTTAACATTTCTAAACGTTGTCGCTTATATCTCTTAACATCAACACTAAAATCATGGTAAATAATCTCTGAGCTACCTCAAGATTGCATATAACGTTAAAATAACTCAATATCAACACTATTCTGGCTTACGGCAACGTGTTCCTCCAACATAATCTCTGAATCTCTCCCAACATCTCCCTTCCTATTAACATCGTCCTTGATATTGCTAAATATTGTCCCTGACATATTATTTCAAAATCGTTTGAAAATTATTAATGTCCATTCTCCTTCAACATTTTTTCTTTATCTATCAAGATTATCTCTAATATCTCTTAACATCGTTCCTTCAACATAAGAATATCATGTCTCAACGTATTTAAACATTTTTCCATAATCTGATAATGGCATCCTTAATATTTCTAATTATTGTATTCGATCTTAATTAACATCGTCTATTGTATCTCCCAATATGTTATGATCATATCCACAACATTTACCCCACCATCCTTCTGAACATCTGTAAGCATCGCCTCAGATATCTTCTATGATTTCGGTGAGTATCTTCATTTCTGGAACTCATCAACTTTATCGCCGGGATCAAAATCGTTCACAACGTATCACAGTATAATTTCTGATATCTCTCAACATTGTCTTGGCTTCTCTGATGAGGAAATCGTCATCTCTTTTTAACATTTCTAAACGTTGTCGCTTATATCTCTTAACATCAACACTAAAATCATGGAAAATGATTCCTGAGCTACCTCAAGATTACATATAACTTCAAAATATCTCAATATCAACACTATCTTGGCTTACCGCAACGTCTTCCTCCATCATAATCTCTGAATCTCTCCCAACATCTCCCTTCCATCTATTAACATCGTCCTTGATATTGCTAAAATTCTCCCTGACATATTATCTCAACATCGCATCGTTTGAAAATTGTTGATGTCTGTTCTCCTTAACATTTTTTCTTTATCTATCAAGATTATCTCTAATATCTCTTAACATCGTTCCTTCAACATAAGAATAACATGTCTCAACGTATCTAAACATTTTTCCACAATCTGATAATGGCATCCTTAATATTTCTAATTATTGTATTTGATGTTAATTAACATCGTCTATTGTATCCCCCAATATGTTATGATCATATCCACAACATTTTCCCCACCATCCTTCTGAACATCTCTAAGCATCGCCTCAGATATCTTCCATGATATCGGTGAGTATCTTCATTTCTGGAACTCATCAACTTTATCGCCGGGATCAAAATCGTTCACAACGTATCACAATATAATTTCTGATATCTCTCAACATTGTCTTGGCTTCTCTGATGAGGGAGTCGTCATCTCTTTTTAACATTTCTAAACGTTGTCGCTTATATCTCTTAACATCAACACTAAAATCATGGAAAATGATCCCTGAGCTACCTCAAGATTGCATATAATGTTAAAATATCTCAATATCAACACTATCCTGGCTTACGGCAACGTGTTCCTCCAACATAATCTCTGAATCTCTCCCAACATGTCCCTTCCATCTATTAACATCGTCCTTGATATTGCTAAATATTGTCTGTTCTCCTTCAACATTTTTTCTTTATATATCAAGATTGTCTCTAATATCTCTTAACATCGTTCCTTCAACATAAGAATAACATGTCTCAACGTATCTAAACATTTTTCCATAATCTGCTAATGGCATCCTTAATATTTCTAATTATTGTATTTGATGTTGATTAACATCGTCTATTGTATCCCCCAATATGTTATGATCATAGCCACAACATTTTTCCCACCATCCTTCTGAACATCTCTGAGCATCGCCTCAGATATCTTCCATGATTTCAGAGCTGTGACTTCTCTGAACATGTGATATCTTGCCCTTGATATCCCATCCCAACTCAACTCAACACCATCTTTGATATACCTCAACATATAAGATATCTTTCTTGATAACGTCGAAAATTATCCCTAACCATTATCAATACATTTTACTTATTGACTTTTTTAACACATTATTCTTAACATTCTTCATCATCGCATTTAGCTTTCCTCAACATTGTCAACGGCATAACATTCCTCAACATAACACAAACATTTCTGAACATTATCCCTAACATTCCTTAGCATATTCCAGGCTTTTCTCTATATCTTTTCCATCATTTTCATATCATCCTTAATATCTCTAATTATCGTACTCAATATCAGTTTTAATACTCGCAAATAACCCCACGTCATTCATCAATATTTTGCCCATCATCTAATGATCTAATGATCGCCCCTCATAGCTTTCAATATCGTCATTGACATCGCTCAACATCATCCCTAATATATAATATCTTAGAAAATTGTTTATAGACTTTTTGAACGTTGGTTATAGCATCAAAACGTAACATATTTCAACATAACTACAATTATCTCTGAATACTGTTCTGGATCCCTCAACATCTTCCTCATTATTTGTCAAAATTTGTTACATTGTCACCGGCATCCTTCTAGATAGAAATAAGAATTTATCAACATCGTCCCTAATATCTAACATGGTCACTAGCTTTCTACGTTGTTTTTGACGTTTCCTTATATTACCTTTGGTCGTAACGTCTGATATTTCTTAACATTGACATTTCTTAACACGAAGATATGGAGAGATGTCAGGTCCATATCTTCTTTTTTCACAAAAATGCCTCTGAAATCCTCTAAAATCGTCCCTGGCTTTCCCCAACAATATCTTTGTCATCGAAAATATTCCTAACAAATCTTGATATAATTGGATTCATGATTGATGGTAAATGATTGTCCTTTTGGGCAGCTGAAAAAATTAATAACGCTAATAGAGCATCAAATTCGGTATCACTCATTACACTAACAGTTTTAGTTTGTGCCTTATAGTTAGTACTCTTTTCTTGAATTTTCAAGTTTGTGTTACAAATTTATTTTTTGCAATATCTGGCATTATTTTGTTTTTTTTGCAATATCAGTGCATACTGGTGTTATATGAATAATATTTCTGCCTATGAATGATCTAGTTCTAGCAGCTGTTAGCTCCCTCTGAGACTAATTTTATCACAAACCACTACGTGTGGATCAGAAACAACAGGATTAACATTACCAGTCTTCTTCTTCTTCCTAACTGGTGGTAGAGGTTCTTCTTCACCCATACTTGAAACGTCTGACAGTTCTAAGTCTGCATCAGGGTCATAATGTTGGTCGCGATAACACCATCATATACCATATGATTTACTTCATCATCCGATCCAGAATCGTTGTCAGATTTATCACTTTCACTTTGTAGTATTTTTCAATTTTACTTTCAGACTTATTTTTGGAACTTATTTTTATATTTACATTTACCACTAAAACTACACATAAGAACAAAATATTAACACTTTTCAATCAATAATAATCCACTATAAACAAAACGGGTATGTAAAAAAATCCAAGCGTTAAAGCTATCATAAACTATCGTAAGATTTACGAGCGATCGAAAGCGGAGCGAAAATGACAAACTGCAAAGAAGTGCGCCAAACATTAACGGAAGAAGCAGCGCCAAGAAGGCACGGAACTAGACGGGCGAGTGAATCGTCGCAAGGTTATAGGAGAAAACTAAACAAAAAAAAAACACACTCGTAATTTTTACGATAGTTTAGCTTTCTATGGTTAATTATTGTGCCCGATATCCTTCTACGTCGTCCCTAAAATCCCCTAATATTTTTACGACTTTACTTATCATCTTTTCCTTCATGTTATATCATCCTCCACGACTTCATCACACCCTTGTTATTCTTCACGATCATCCCAGATATCTCCTAAAATCCTTAAAATCATTCCGAACCCAACTATGGTAATTCTTGACAATGTGACTTCTTTCATAACTGTTGAACTACTTCATCTTTATGCCTAAGATATTGTTCTAAAACATAGTCTTCATCCCTTTTATCCAGTATCTTTCTACTCTTCTTTCCAAACTTCTTTCTATCAAATTTAAATTTGATTTAAAAATCAATAATTAACATTTTGTACTTTCGTACTAGTTTTATTGTTAAAATAAATCCGCTTTACTCGTATCGGTCTTATAGGGTCATCTCCAAAAACTTCGTTCTATTGGTCCAGTTTACTCTTCTCTTTCCATAGTCTCCATTCTGTCTTATTACCTACATGGTAGTAGATTTTTTTTCGTTTCAGTCTGTGTTCAGTCTCATTCTTGCATTGACAATGTATGTGTGTATGTATGGATTGGGGAGTGCATGCAAAACCGCACGCCACACTTAGGCCCCATTGGGCCCCTTGTGCATCCTCCCATTACACGCTCTGGTCACATCAGCCAGCCTAAGGATTTACCAAAGGCTAGGACAGCTCCTAGAGGTGCATTCCTGATGTCATCTGTGGTTGGCCATTCCTCCCCGAAGGTCCTCAATCTAAGGTCGGTCAGAGAGGGGCAATCACACAAGATGTGTTTAACCGTCTCGTCATCCTGTTCACAGGCTCGACAGAGAGGAGAGTCAGCAAGCTTCATGTTTTGAAGGTGCTTATTTACTTTACAGTGTCCCGTGAGTAGACCTGTGGCAGTGCGAAGGGCACTTTTACCGAGCCCTACGAAAAACTGGGCTGTTGCGGCTGAAGGATATTAACAATTCCTTAGCGAGATGACAGCCCGGGGTACGGTCCCACCCGTTTAAAAATTTTTTGTGGGTAATGTGCTTTATTAACTCGATATGAGTGGCTAAGGAGGGGGTAATTATCGGCTCGGGTGCACAGGGCGCTCTACCGGCAGCACGTTTGGCTAGCCTGTCCGCGTGGTTGTTACCCTTGGAGCCGGAATGCCCTTTAATCCACTGGATTCTGACAGAATTGTATTTCGCGGCTTCCTCCAGTGCTTTGTGACAATCCATAACTACTGCAGACGTTATAATAACTCTGCTTAAAGCTAAAAGAGATTGTTTACTGTCTGTAAAAATAGTAAAACACTTACCCCGCTTGTTGGATTCAACAATGCAGTCAGCAGCAAGTTTAATAGCAGTTAGTTCCGCTTGTATGACGGTGGTGCTGGACCCTAAAGGTTCTGAGAGGCGAATCAGGGGATCGTGAGAGGATACCCCCGCGCCTGCACCATTTCGTCCTTTTGAACCATCAGTGTAGATCTTTAAGGTTCTATGTACATCTACAACTGTGGGACTGACGTGGGTAAGGTACTTCCTTGAGAAAACATATTTTGCTGGTCTGTGATCAGTCTTACACTCGAGTAGGGGTGTGTCTAGCACTGCTTCCTTCCAGAGTGTTGAACTGTTGCCAGCGTCCTCATCCTTCATAGTTCCTACTGATTGTAGTCGTTTCATGGTTACCAACGCCACTTCCTGGATATGTAGGTTGAGTGGTGGTAAATTTAACATGATTTCCATGGCCGCTGTGGGGGTTGATCGCAGCGCACCTGTAACATACAGACACGCGAGTCTCTGTATTCTATTAAGCGCAGTGGTGGCGGTAGACTTAGAAGTTGTAGTCCACCATACCACCGCACCGTAAGTTAGCATTGGTCGAACAACGGCGGTGTAGATCCACATATCTTGGGAGACACACCCCAAGTCCTCCCGACAGCCCTCCGGCACTGGCCGAAGGCGACACAAGCTTTATTAACTCTATTGTCTAGGTGGAATTTCCACGTTAGCTTACTGTCTATTATTAAACCCAAGTACTTGACTTCTGTAGACAGTTTAAGTGGAATTTTAGCGAGCGTTGGCGGTCTGGGATTGCCAATGTTGCGCTTGCGTGTAAAAAGAACCATCTCTGTCTTTTTGGGATTGACGAAAAGGCATTGTTTATTACACCAGTTCTCAATTAGATTGAGTGCTTCCTGCATCCTGTCGAGGAGTACATTAGCGTACTTGCCTCTTATGAGGATTGTCAGGTCATCTGCGTAGCCAACGGTTTTAAAACCGGCTAGATTTAGGCGTTTCATGAGGCTATCGAGGGTGAGATTCCACAAAAGTGGAGAAAGTACTCCCCCTTGCGGACAGCCTCTAGTAACAGCCCCTTGAAGAGTGGCCTGGCCAGGTCTTAATTTGACGACCCTATGTCTTAGAGTGCTCTCAATCCAGCCGCACAGGGCCAGAGGAACGTTATGCTCTAGCAAGGCGTCGTTAATTCCGGAGAAGGTAGTTTTATCAAAAGCTCCTTCCACGTCAATAAAAACCCCGAGGGCGGACTCCTTGTGGTCCAGCGCACCACCGACGAAACTGATCATTGAGTGAAGAGCCGTCAGCGTGGACTTTCCCTGGGTGTAAGCATGTTGATTAGAGTCTAGTGGCCTGCTGCGCAGACAAGAGTCTCTAATGTAACGGTCGCAAAGCCTCTCCAACGTTTTCAATAGAAAGGAGGAGAGGCTAATTGGTCTATAGGACTTCGGAAGGAAGTAATCTTGCTTACCCGGTTTAGGTATAAAGTTGACCGTGACTTCACGCCAACTACCCGGTACATAGCGAAATGCCAGACATCCCTGGAAAATACTCTTCAGGTGCGGTAGCAGGTCATCCAGTCCCCATTGTAAGAGGGCCGGTGTAATCCCGTCCGGTCCTGGAGTTTTGAACGGCGAGAACGTATTCACAGCCCACCGTATTTTCTCCTCGTCGCAGATCACTTTGGCCAAGAGCCATTCATCCGCAGTTGGTACATGAATTATCTCTTGTTGGACATCGTTAAAGTTGTCCGAACCTGAGAAATGAACAGCATTGACAATGTATTTCCAATTTATCCTCCACGACTTCTTCACACCCTTATTATCCTTCACGATCATCCCTGATATCTCCTAAAATCCTTAAAATCATTCCGAACCCAACTATGGTAATTCTTGACAATGTGCCTCCTTTCATAACTGTTAAACTACTTCATCTTTATGCCTAAGATACAGTTCTAAAATATAGTCTCCATCCCTTTTATCCAGTATCTTTTTACTCTTCTTTCCAACCTCCTTTCTATTGAATTTAAATTTGATTTAAAAATCAATGATTAAAATTTTGTACTTTCGTGCTTGTTTTATTGTTAATATAAATCGGCTTTACATGTTTCGACCTTATAGGGTCATCTTCAGAAGCTTCTTTCTATTGGTCCAGCTTACTCTTCTCTTTCCATAGTCTCCATTCTCTCTTATTACCTACATGGTAGTAGATTTTTTTTCATTTCAGTCTCATTCTTGAATTACCAATGTATTTCCAGTCATCTTCTCCTGTATCTAGTCCCGTGCTTAACTTTCCGTATTTTTCCACTCTTTTCAATCTTCTTGCTATTTATCTAGATTGTTCTTGTGGTTCCAGTTTTGTTCAATCCCCATTCCCTGTTACTACTCAATCTTAGTCTCCATCCACTCTATTTCTGCCTTTTTCTATTTATCCAGTCACGTTCTTTTCATTCCAGTTTCTGTCTAGTCTTTTTCTTGCATTATCAGTGCCTTTTCTGCCATTTCCTCTTGTATCTATACCCGTTCTTGACTTTACAGCATTTTTTCTCTGTCCACCATCTTTCTGCTGTTTTCAACTTCTTCTTAGTATTTCCCAGTTTCTTCTTCTCTTTCTAGTTCTGTTACTACTTATATCCTAGCCTGCATTTACCCTTTCCTTTTCTCATCTTCACCCTTTTCTACTTATCCAGTCGCAGTGATCTGTTGATACACGAATAATAAACAACTAATTTAATCTTTGCTTTCTTTTCTCTTTTCTTTCTGTTATTGTATTCCTACTAATTTAATTGTGAACGTCTCCTCTACCACCACATTTAATCTGTATACCATATGTAATTCAATATTAATAAACGTTCATGTCGGTAACCAATAATAATCAATTATGTGCACGAGAAGATCTTGTTAATCCAAATTCGCTCCAACAATTCATAGAATGGGAAATCGTAAGCGTAATCCTAATAACGTGCTCTCCTTAATCCGAACTTTTTATTCAGCACTGAAAAAGATTTTTTTTATCCAACTGCATACAAAAAATACATCACGTATATTCATAACAATTAAAATCACTGGCTGTTATAGACACAATAATACTTAAAATAAATCATAAAAATATTTGTTAATTAAATTCTTTTTTAGATTTTAATCCTCAAGATAACGCCGGAAATACACCATTGCACGTAGCAGTAGAAAACGGTTCTTTAGATGCAGTCGATTATCTCCTACAAATGTAAGTAAAAGAGGATTTTCTAAAAATTCCATCCGCGTTTCCAATTTGTTTAGTCTAAACTATAATTTATCGTTTGTCGTAAATCAAACCGCAATATTATCGCAATACATTTCCATTTTAGTGGCGTTAAAACCGACATTTTAAACGAGAAAAAGCAAGCGCCCGTTCATCTCGCCACCGAATTGGATAAAGTCACTGTACTCCAAGTCATGAGTAAACACAAGAGTAAAATAGACATTCAACAAGGTGGGGAACACGGAAGGACCGCCTTACACATCGCAGCTATTTACGATCATGAAGAGTGTGCGAGAATTTTGGTAATGCAAAAAAGTAAAATTAATTTAAAATTTTAAAATTAATTTGTGGTAGATAACGGAATTTGGTGCATGTCCTCGAAAACCTTGCAATAACGGTTATTATCCAATTCATGAAGCAGCAAAAAATGCCTCATCAAAAACGTTGGAAGTCTTTTTACAATGGGGTGAAGCGCGCGGGTGTTCCCGTGAGGAAATGATCTCATTTTATGACGCCGAAGGAAACGTACCGTTACATTCTGCAGTTCACGGAGGTGACATCAAGGCCGTCGAGCTTTGCCTAAAATCCGGTGCAAAAATATCCACCCAACAACACGATTTATCGACTCCCGTTCATTTGGCTTGTTCCCAAGGGGCCACAGAAATCATAAAATTAATGTTCAAAATGCAGCCGGAAGAAAAAGTAACGTGCTTAGCGTCGCAGGATGCCCAAAAAATGACACCTTTACATTGCGCGGCAATGTTTGATCACCCCGAAATTGTGGAATGCTTAATTTTAGAGGGTGCCGAAATTAATGTTGTAGATAAAGAGAAGAGATCGCCTTTGTTGTTGGCAGCTTCGAGATCCGGGTGGAGAACTGTACACGCATTAATTCGTTTAGGGGCGGATATTAATGTTAAAGATGTTAATAGGAGGAATGTTTTGCATTTGGTTGTTATGAATGGGGGGAGATTAGAGGAATTTGGGGATGAAGTTAGTAAGGTAGATAAAAATGTATTATTCATATTTTTTTTTAATAATTATTTTAATAATTTAAGGCGAAAGATCAATCAAGTTTGTTACAACTATTGAACGAAAAGGACATCTCGGGATGTTCACCACTTCATTACGCCAGCAGGGAAGGTCACATTAGAAGTATTGAGAATTTGATCCGTTTGGGAGCTTGTATAAACTTAAAGAACAACAATAATGAGAGTCCTTTACACTTTGCGGCCAGGTAAAATTTTTAATTCTTCAAGAGAAGATTTTTTTTTTATAGAAATAATTTTTGTAGTAATACGGTTTTTAGTTTATAATTTTATTTTCTTTTATAATAACCCCTTTAGGGGATTAAGAGAATTACTCGGTTGTAATTGATTATTAGTCATAAACGAAATCGCTGGGGAAATTCGAAAGTTAATGGAAATTGAAAGTAATCAATAAATTATTATTTACCTTTATAAATGGTTTTGTAGCAATTAAATTCTGTAAGAATAATTATCGTACCTTAAACGTTGTTAAAACAAAAAAGATTGATGGTTGTTAATGCGTATGGATCAAAATTAAGTGGACTACACTTAACTTTCTAGAATTCTTAGGTAATTTTATTGAAGAGTTTTCCAATCGATTAGATAGCAATTCATTTAGCAATTATATCTTCTTATCACCATATAAACATAGATGTCTAACTTTAGATCCGAGCCTCATTTGCAACAGATCAATAGTTAACGAGTTAACAAACTTATCGTTAAATTGTTAAAGTTTGATTGCTACTATTCATAAACTACAGTCTATTTTCGACAGATAAAATAGAATCAACTGTAAAAAGAGTAAAAAAAAATTTACATCGTGGTGCTTAGCAAGTAAATATTAATAAGTAAAAAATCTTAAAAAAAACTTCTAACTTACATATATTTTATATTATATAAAAAGCAAAGCTATCAAATAAGTTCGAAAGGTTGAATTTTAAGTTTCAAATCATATCAAATTTCAACTTTTCGAACTTATTTTATAGCTTCGCTCTTGATACCTTCGGCTGATGATGGGGAGTTATTCCTGAAACCGGTTCCGATTTATATAATATAAAATATAAAACATATGCAAGTTAGAAGTTTTTTTTCAAGAGTTTTATTTATTAGCAGAGTATTGGTCGAATTCGTTCCCGTTTTGATGTCCAAAATTAGTTGTAACGATCTTGGCACTAAAAACTTATAGAGGGCTTTTTTGCCCTCTAATCACTTAATCCCGATTTAAATGCAGGAATCTAACCAAAAACAAGAGTAAAAGAGGAACAGTAGAAGTTGTGGAAAATAATTTCTGTAAAGAAAACGAAATAGTGCGCAGGATCCAACAATATATGTTAAAAAGCATGAGGAATACAATTATGGAATAGAAGTGATCATAAAGTTGAAAAGGAATCAAACACCGAAACTAATGAAGCAGAAAGCGGAGAATTAAAAAAGAAATGGTACAACATCTATAATTCATTCCAAGCAGAGGAGGATTTACAAAACCTTGAACTATTTAAAATAGTGAAGTTGGCATGCATTGTCAATTAATTCAAATCTTCTTTCAACAAGATGACGCTAGGAATCACCTTGTACAACGTTGCCAGGATTACTAATTTTTCAGTCTTTAAGTTCTTTAAGTGTTTAAGATTCAGGCATACAAAAACGATTTCGGGAAGAAATTGCAAAAATTAATGGCTGTTGTAGGCGTTATTATGTTGTTGGAAGAAATAAATGTGAATAGGCGAGAATAAAGGGAGAGAGTTTATCGAAGAACATCTTGGCTAGACGAATGTACGAGAAAAGGCCCTGGAAATGATGTGAAGATGAAATACAGGAGGCTTCATCCTCTGAAGGCGACGCAGAACATCCTCGTTGTCAAAAAGCTGGATGGCTTCAATGTTGGGATTACGTTCTCTTGTGTACAAATTTCGATGCTCACCATTGGTATATGTGATATTATACGGTATAAAGCAACATAACGATTTTTGAGATATTTTGAAAAAACTGAAATTTGCTAATTTTAATTTTTACTAATAAGTCGATAACGCGTATTGCGACTGCTTTTAAACTTTTACATCGTTAAGACACTTTTTCAAGACTAGCTTTTTAGTCTGAACAGAAACTATTTTCATTTGTTCCGCTTTAAGTTATTAACGCTGTCTTTTGTTTTTCCTTTGTTTTGCCATATTGAATTTTTGATCAGTTAAATAGTTTCTAAAAAGAGCTTTTCTATAATGTATAACATGCCCAATAAATCTATTTATACCAGAGATATGAACAAAAAATTAATTTTACGCTAACACGAAATTAAACACAAACAAATTGTTCGATATGACCACCGTTGTGTCCCAAACACTTGTAACACCTCGTTTTAACAGATTTACAGACCCTACGCAATGTGGTTCCGTTTCATGATCTGAATACATCCAGCATTCTTTGTTCTAAGATTTCCAGAGTCTGTGGCGGTTCAAAATTAAATATTTCGTTTTTCGTGGCGCCCCACAGATAAAAATCAAGAGGGGTAAGATCGGATGATCTCGCATTGTAATGGTCCATGATTTGAAATCACTCTTTCGTTAAAGTTTTTTCTTAAAAAATATTGTACATCACGAGTATTATGGGCCGGGCAGCTATCTTGCTGAAACTAGATATTTTAAATGCTTTCGGGGTTAATAACTTGTCTGATGGCAGGCATAATTTCGTTTGCTAGTAGTCTTAAATATCTGTCGTCATTTAAATTATAATCAAAGATAAAATTAATGATTATCTAAAATGAAAAAAAAAACAAATACTCATAAACACAACAAAGATGCCCATAAAGCAAACCACACCAAACATTAAATCCAAATCGAGTTTGAAATCTCCTTTGATTTACCAAATCTGGATTTTCAGTAGACCTATAATGATAATTGTACCTATTGAACACTCCACAATTGGTAAACCGTGTTTCATCTGTCCAAAGTATTTTCCTAGGAAAATCATCATCGTTTTCACATTTTTGTAGATACCATCTGCTATAAATCTTCGGGTATGGTCATTATCGCTTAAACCTTGCACTATTGTTGGCTTGTACGGGTGGTATTTCTTTTTCTTCAACGTATTATGAGCAGTGGTTTTCGGAGTTCCAGTTTCTTGAGCCATTTGACTTGGATTGTTTCTAACATTTCGTCAAATATTGTTATCACGTCTATCAGCATTGTTAACTTTGTAGTTCCCTCGTTTCTATTCGAAGCTTCCAAAATTCACCAGATTTCTGATAATTTTGTTGAAAATTTTCCTATTTGGTTATGATCTTTCCAAAAAGCGCGTAGCGTACCTGTCGCAAACGATTTGAGAGTTTCTTGTTGCTTTGAAATACATTTCCAATATATCAACCTTTTCTTCATTTGAAAATTTATATGCCATTATCAATACTTACTAATTTGAATGCTTAACGGTTATTAGGTACTTATCAATAACTAGTAGAGAAAGTTATTACACTCTGACTAATTCAACTTTTACAAACGATAAAGATCCAACATGGCCACCATAAGAAAAACAAAAGACAGCGCTAATAACTTGGAAACAAATGCATATCAATAATTCCTGTTCAGACCAAAAGGCTAGTCTTAAAAAAGTGTCTTAACAATGTAAAAGTTTAAAAGCAGTTGCATTACGCGTTATCGACTTATTAGTAAAAATTAAAATCAGCAAATTTCAGTTTTTTCAAAATATCTCAAAAATGAAAAAAGTGAGGATGAATTTGAAATATGATTTGTTGCGAGCATTGAATTCTGCGAAACATTCCCTATTTAACCTAATGGTGAGCATCGAAATCTGGACACACTGTATACCAAGGTGTATTCATTATGTACCTTAGTACTATGGATTTTATATCTCATTATTTCTGAGATTGAAAAGTTATATATCAACCTAAATAAGTGAAAATAATCTTCTTCGCATGACGCTATTTGGATTTTGCACCGTCAGAAGATGGAAAAAGAATCCATGAAATAACAAACATATTAGGAATTCGTATCAAAATTGAAGAGTACAGAAAGCCAAAATAAATGCCCCAGTGCAAAAGGTGTCAAGGTTTATTACCACAAAAATTTCGAGATTTCTCGTAATTTTTCTACTTCCCTGTCAATGTCTTCGGTTGTTTTCATAAGAGTATTAAGATGAGTTTTATTTAATTTTATTTCAAAAAATCGAGCAGTTCCGGAATTTTACTTCTATCTGTAGGCCAGTAAGTTGGTTTACCAGTGGAGAGCACCTCATAATTTAGGGCCTCTATTACATGTTTCAGTTCTCTTCCTTTTGTGTTTGTCAAGCAAGAACCCCAAGACATATCTTATTAAAATCTCCTCCAAGTATAAATTTGTGTTCAAGATGCAGTAGAATTTCCTGATAATCTTCTCTTTTGAGATTATGTCTCACCAGTATGTTCGTTACTACAGATATTAAGCCATTAGCGGTTTGAACTTTTACCACTGTAGTTTGATGTTGTTCAATACTAATTGTATTATTCATATAGTGGTCAATATTACTTTTAATGATAATTGCACTTTCACCTCGAGCCGCATTACTAGGGTGAATTGTGTGATAAATATTGTAATGGTTGATGTTTATATGTATACGATTCTCCTATAAAGTGAGTTTTGAAGATAAGACATATATCAGTATTGTTTTCTTTAAGTATTATTGGTAGTGTGTTTTGATGCTGTCGAAGACCATTGGAAATCCACAGCATTATTTTTTAGTTGCTGCTTTTTAGACATTTTTATTTCTTTTTTGAATCGCTCCTTGGTTTAAGTTGCTTTCCACGAAATCTAGACGTGCATAATGTTTTTATTGTTTCATCTTGTTGAAGTATTTTTTCTAGTATTAAATCTAATTTACTATCAGCCTTTTTATCGACTAATGTACTTGCAATTTTCTCTGCAGTTTCACCACTCGCTTTTTCGGCATACGAGACGCCTGGCTTTCTTTTATTTGAATTCACTGCTTCCTTATTCCTGATGGCTTGTAGTTCCTTAATTACAATGCATCATCGGTTGTTCGCTGGATGATTTTTTCCACAGTTGAATCATTTAGCCGGGATTTCTTTGGCTTTAGTGTAATCGTTGATCATTTTTATGGCAGTAAGCTTTGGTGTTGCTTCAACCTTGACAACTTTTGCACTGGGGAATTTGTTTTGGCTTTTTGTACTCTTCGATTTTGACACGCATTCTTAATATGTTTGTTA